CAGAACTTGGCCTTGAATTTGCTGTGGAAGTAGTCTAGTTCTCATACTGCCTATTAGCCTTGGGCAAAGAAACTACTGTGGAGAACAGAGCTGAGAAAAGGACTAAAAATAAAACAGGGAAGCAGGACAGGTAGCCAGAGGGGGAGCATGGGAGGGAAGCGGAGAAGAAGTGGGGAAAACTCATCAAACCAATAGGTCAGGCTAGCGTAGATCCAAAGGAAAGAAATCGATGCTAAAATCCCAAGAGTGTGCAACAAGAGACAAACGGTGATACCAGGAGGGAGAACAGTTGGTAGTTCCCGCATCATTGTATGGTAACCTATTCCCAAAGCCGGGTGTTACACCTGAAGTCCTGCTTCCTGTAGTCTCACTAATAAATACTCAAAGCTGTTGCATGTCATGATTTGTGTGGTAAACATCTTTCTATAAAGATGATAGAGATACTTTGAATCAGGGTAGAGAGACTTTGAATCTGCTTCTCTGTCATCCATCCTCTGCTCCTCTCTCTGCCCCTCCCTACTGTTTTCAGAACTGTGACGGTGTTGCCAACTGTACCCCATTTTTGAGACTCTGGCCAGAGGCAATCCTTCCTTCTCTGGGAGGAAGGGAGGTAAATCCTTTCCATCACTTGCCTTTTCAGCTGCTGTGTTGAGTAAGTTCAGCCTTGTTTATAGTTTCTCTTTGAGCCTGTTCTAGGTTTGAAAGCGTGACTTTGGACATCTTTATCTTTGGACAAGAAAATACTTTCTGCAGGAAACTGTCAGGTATTTGTTAAATAAATTTGGAGGAAGTATTTAATGCGGCCTTAAAATGTCCGAGAAGAGCAGTGTCCCTCTACCCTCTGCCTGGAAAGGAGAGGAGATAAGAGGGGTCAATGACAGCACAGAGGGTGAAGAGGGAGGGACTGCATATGTCTTCATTTCCACAGAAAATTGTACCGTTGTGGAGCAGAGACCCAGGGAAATGTGAATCAATAACAGGGGTCACCATCGTTGACTTTCTCTGGCCAAGAGGAGGTACATGATCTAAGGCATTATTTTGAAAAAAAGGTTACACTTATACCAATGAAAAAAGTAGAAAAATCAATACCTGGAATAGTTTCGTTGACTTTAAAGGAGAAAAAAGGGGGACATGTATTTAGGGAAAAGTGATACTGGGTGACCTCTCTATCTCAAAATTCCCCATTTCTTCCCTCCTTTTCTCCCTCCCCTGCTTTCTTCTTACAGATGTGCACTGAGTGTGTGGAAGGCTCTGGGCTCGGTGTGACAGAACACAGCATAACAGAGATTCCCCCCCATCACTCGGTGCATGCAATGAACTCCATGTTTCTGCCCCTCTCCCAAATTCATCTGTTGAAACCTAATGCCAGTGCAGTGATATTTGGAGGTGGGGCCTTTGAGAGGTGAAAAGGTCATGAGGTCAAAGCCCTCATAAATGGGATTAGTGCCTCTTGCCCCTTCTGCCATGTGAGGACACAGTGAAAAGAAAGCCTCAGGAAATCTGGAAGCAGGTTCTCACCAGACACTGAGTCTGCCTGTGTGTGATCTTGAACTTCCAGCCTCCAGAACTGTGAGAAATCCATTTCTGTTCTGTATAAACCACCCAGGCTGTGGCATTCTGTTACAGGACCCTGAACAGTCTGAGACAGATTACTGTGAGCTGTAGATATTCATGATAATGTCTTAGATTTATAACTTTACAGTCAACCAAGATTTAAAGTTCCAAGCAATTTAGAATGCGGTGCTAATTTTTAATTCACAACCAAAAGGCTGGACCATGAGCTCATGACTCTCTGTCACCATCTAGAGGCAGTTTACACATATTGCAGGGCCAGTTCCTGGACTAGTACATAAGGCCATCTGGGTGGCTATAGCTTTGCAGTGTTTAGGTAGCGACCCCACAAAAGAAATTGGACAGAATCATCTGGAAGTGAATGAAATGGGAAGTTTTGATCTCTAGATCTAGAATATATGGGAAGTGGGTCTTGGTTTCTGTACCAAACTATGAAAGGGTGGGATCTATAGGGTAGAAGGGCTTACCCTATAAAGGGTGGGGGAGGGGCTGCAAGACCAGGGAACATGAACGACATGCAGAGACCTCCAGTCCACAAAGGGGAGGAGGCACTCAAGAAGTATTTGTTCAGTTGAATGAGAAGCTCTGAGGTGCCAGGCTGGTAGAGAAAAATGCCATAGGATGGGATTGGGGTCTGGACTGTTCATCCAAGTTCTCATGGAGAGAGGGAGGTATGTTGCTCCCCAGAGAACATCTGGCACCATCACAGTTGTGGGCATCTGATGGGCAGAGATGCTGCTAACCATCTGGGTATGCACAGGACAGCCCCCTCAGCCCCAGATGCTGAGGCTTAAGGCCACAGTGGAGTACAGAGTATCCACCAAAACTATTCTCTGGACTCTAGCACTGACCCAGGCAAAGATCCTCTGATCACCAAAGAAGGAGATAAAAAGAGTGTGGATGACCACGAAAATATATCTCCAAGAGGGACAACCTCTCTCCCAGTTTCCTTAGTGCTTACTTGATGAGAGCTCAGGGCTCTCAGTCCCAGACTCCTTTTTCAGGCAGCCTGTTGCAGGAGGATGAGGATGATGTGATTTGGGCCACCATTTGTACTTTCTGTCCCTGATGTCCTCTTTCCTTTTGTGTCCAGCTGTCTCCTGAAATCACAGAAACCACTAAAATCAGCTGTATCAGCATCACCCACAGGTGCTGGCTACCGAGGCCTGTTTGGACGGTACACCAAACCCACAGAGCCAGACTTCCCAGGGCTCACAGCCCAGGGGCCCGCTCTAAAAGCCAGCATCCCAGGGGATTTTGATGCATATCGAAGTTTGACATGGGATGTAAGTTACAGATAGGCAGGGTGTCATCTGTTTTTACTCTTAATGCTCTCAGAAAAATGTTTTCACTTCATCTTTGAGATAGCCCTTTAGTGTGCTGTTTGGTCTTATTTTACAGGATATAAAATGGAGGCCACAAGAGCTTAAACAGACGATGTGGAGAGACCCAGGGGTTGTTAAACTTGAATTTTCTTCTTATGAGGCCATTCCCAAAAGCTTTCCCTTGGCCAGAAATGGTGCCACTTCTGACATGTGAGCTTTGTTTGCTCTGAGCTATGACATGGCCTCATCTTAATCACCGGGGTTAGGACCATCCGTTTCCACAGCTACACCCTGGTCCCGCTCACCTTTCTTGTCATTGCTTTCTCTTGGCACCTGCCAGCCATGTCCACACAACATCCACATTGTTCTTTCTTGAAGACAGTTCTCCCACACACACACACACCAGTCTCCAACTGACTCCTTATTTGCTACATGCTTCCCCCAGGCTGGAAGATCCTGTCCACCTGGCCATGTACTGTTTCTGCCTCTCCCTCTGGTCTGTAACTTACAATCTTTCTTTTCCTTATAGAACAGACCCACACTCCTGGAGACTGGCATTCAGTGGTGGTTGTGGTGTGGTAGCCATACTGTATCCTAACTGTTATAGTTTACAGCACTATACAGTCCTCTAAACTGATGTTACCGCAATAAAAAAAAAATTAAAAAAAAGGAAGAAGAAGTTGAAAAACCCAGGAGGATGGGTGGGAAGGGTTGGTCAATCAGAAAGCATCCTCATGCTTCCCTAGGAGAGGTGCAGACCCATATGCCTCCTCCCTTCCCCCAACTAAATCTGATTCTGCAGTTATTTTAAATTAAGAGACTGCTCTTCTCCTTTATTGTATTTGTGGTCTTTCTGGTACTTAGAATTGTTGAGGTATCTCTCCGCAAGTGTTTCCTACTGGCCTGTAAGAATATATTTTGTTCATGGCTGCAAACAGCAGGGATCAAATAAATGCACTGATGAAAGGAACAGCCACCCAGCAAATGGAACCACGTTGGCGGTGATGGTTAGCAGGGTTTGTTGTGGCTGACTGCTGGAGGCTGGGACACCAGGCCAGGATTCAAGTTTGAGGAGTTGGAAGCATGGTCACTTGGGGAAGAGGTGAGGTGAGGGGAAGCCACCACCGCTGACGGTGTGTTCCACGCTGCGGGCTGCAGGACTGGACAAGGCTCAGGGCTCCAGCCCACGAGGCTGCCCCCGACTTGCAGGTCAAGGGATTTCTCTTTAGGTAGCTAGGCAACCATGAACCCAGCTGAGTCCCATTTTCCAGTCTTCCTCTCGCGGGTTAATAGCATCCACCTTGCAAGGACAGAGTCTGAAATAAATGAGATGAAGTCAGGGATAACACAGGCACTTTGGAGTTGTTTAGGAGGTTAAATACCCCAGCCTTCTCGCCAGAAGACTTGTCAGAGTCTGCACAGGCGGCCAAAGAAGTCGCGCCACTTACCTGAGCCTGCCCCCTTCTCAGCTCATCCCACCGTGCGCTTCAACTACGTTTTCCAAGCCTGACCCAGGGCGCGCCCCTCCCTCCCTTGGCTGTCGGTCCCTCCTTCCCCACACTCTTACCCAGAGTCCCCTCCCCTTCTCCCCTCCCTCGGAGCAGGAGCCAGGAATCCCACGCCCTTGCACCAGCCCGGGGGCTCGGACGGGCCCAGGAGCCGCTGGTCGCCAATCACCGTGCGGTGGAGAGGCGGGCGCTCGGCTCCGGCGCGCTGGGGGAGCCAGCTGGCGCTGCTTTCCCCGGGAGCCTCAGACGCTCTCACCGACCCAGACGCACAGACTGGCGGGCAAGCGGGCGGGCAGGCACGGACAGAGCCCCCCAGCCGTTTGCGCTCGGAGGCGCGCGCCAGCCCCGGCTCGGGAGCCTCCCGGATCCCCCGGGGAGCCGCAGGCAGCAGCTCCGCAGGCTCGCGCCGGCAGAAGGGAGGGCGCACAGGCGGCCGGAGGAAAAGAGGCGCCGGGGCGCCGGGCGATGTGAGCCGCGCGGCTCCCACCTGGCGGCACCTGGAGCACCACTCTGGGGCGGCGGGGAGAATGCGCGCCGCCCGTGCGCTCCGCCCGCTGCGTCCGGCCGCCCGCAGCAGCCGCACCCGCACCTGACCATGGAGTGCGCCCTCCTGCTCGCGTGCGCCCTCCCCGCCGCCGGCGCGGGCGCGCCGTGGGGTCCGGCGCGACTGGGGCGCTTGGCCAAGGCAGGTGCCCGACGGGAGGCGCACCCAGAGCGGGTGGCAGGGGGCGCCAAGCCCAACGTGCCGCTCACGTCCAGTGTCACCTCTTCTCTTGCAGGCGCTCCAGCTGTGCTGCCTCTGCTGTGCGTCCGTCTCCGCAGCCTTAGCCAGTGACAGTAGCAGTGGCGGCAGCGGTTTAAATGATGGTTCGTATTCGGCCCCCATCCCCATCCCCAGGGGGCCTTTCCAGGTTCTTTGTCCCTTCCTTCCCCCTAAAGAGAAAAGATGGAACGCTGCCCCTCCACCTGGCAGGTGTGTGCGCGGTGCGCGCGCGCCTTGGAAATGGTTCCTTTTGGTGGGGGAGGCAGCGGGGTGGAAGGAGGCTGGCAGGAGGGATGCGGGCGAGGACTCTGAACTTATCAAAACAATCAAGGCCTCAAGCTGCAAGTCACTTAAATGAGACTTGATGAGGAAGGAGAAAACAATACTTTCCCTCATTCACAGATGGCTTGTAAAAAATTCCGAACTGCTGTGAGAAGTTAGAAAGGAAGTGGACATAGACCTGGCTGTGGATATCAAAGGGTCCCTTCCTGGGTTTCTTCCTCTACCCGGAAAGCCTGCAGGAACTCATTCTTGGTGGTGGTGATGGGTGGGGGTGGGGGTGGGGGTGTTGGGCATGTGAGTACTTTACCTTTTGTCTCCCCCTCTCCACTTCTGTTCCTTTTCTTCCTCTCTGCGCTTCTATTCTCTGCTCTTAGCCATGAATTCCCAAAGCCCCCCCTGGGGAAAGAAGCTGGTAGCTTTAGATCTCTGGAACCTTCATCTCCAAGGCGGTTCCTTAGCCCCAAACTTCCAGAGCAACCTTCACTTCTGTCATTTATTAACCTTTCCCTGGTGCCCTGAAGGCAAATGCTAGTTTCCATTGTTTTCCACCAGCTACAGAACAGTTGGTTCTTGATCCAACCTTCATGTCCCACTGGAATTCTATCTTTTTTACCTGTCAGGTCATTCTCTGGCCCTGTTGTGGGACTAGGGAGCATATTGGGGAAGAGGCAGAATCATGGAGAAGGTCTGTGCCAGGGAGTGGGGCAAGAAGGGGACAGGAGAGAATCAGGAATTCACTCCTGGGAAATTCACCTTTTATCCAACCACAGAGATGGGTGCAGTTTTAAACAATCCCCATGTTCTATCAGGGTCAGAGGGCTGGAGGCTCTCCCTGTCCCAGCCACCACCCATAGGGACCTCCTCTTTACTCAGCCCCTGAGCTGGCAGGTGGTGCTCCCCAGGGGCTCTGCCTGCCCCTCTTCCTTCAAGGACTTACTCTTTCTCTCCTGGCAAACAAGCAGCAGGTGTGGGGGTAGGAGGCACTTTTAGGGCCCATTCCCTGGAAAGCTGGCTGGATAAGTCTCCTGCCTGACCGCCCAACTCAGAGTAGACACAATTTTGGACAAGGAGGTAAGAAACCACTTCTTGTAGAGAATCTGCAGTGTGTGTCAGGAATGTTTTTCTCAGTTAGCTTTCAGTGTTGTGGAGATAAGAGGTGGTTTTTTGCTATGAAGCTGCCACATACCTCGAAAGCCACACAACAGACTTTTTTTTTTTTTTTTTTCAAGAAGAGAATATTGTCTGTCCTGCCCAGTTTCTTTAAGGTTCAGGAAAGACTTATTTTTCCAAATTTTTAAAATATGCACGACAGTGTGATAATTTTCCTACTTAAAGGAGTCAAGGCAAAGTGGGAAGGGCAGGACAGCAAGCACAGGTAGGAATGAGAGCTGTTGCAGCCGGAAGAGGCCCAGATGACTTCGCTCCTGCACAGAAGAAAATGGTTAAAATTGTCATTTGGGGAATTTTTTTTTTTTTCTGAAGGTAGGCCCAATTAGTATATCACCTGTCGTTGATTCCTGCCGACCACAGGACTTCCATTCATTTCTCAGCTTTATTTTGGGGGGTTGTTGACTATTTTGGTAAAAGGGAAATTCTTCTTTTCCTGCCCCCAGTAGCCAAGGATCTTAGTGACTCAAACATGCCACTTAGTTATTCAGAATCTTTCTAAACACTTTGCAAAGTAGCTTCCATTCTATGCCTACAAAGTGGAAATGCAGAACATTCTGTAGTGTGCAGAGAATGTATTCCACCCTGTGGGATGAACCTTTTCAGTTTCAGTGTTGTGTGATAGAAAACAGTGTTGCTGGCTTCATTTTGTTTTTGTTTTTGTTTTGTTTTTTCCAAGCAGCAAATTGTCTTTTGGCTCCTCCTCTCCCCAACAAGCAGCAATTAGTGCTGCTCGAGGAAGCTTTGGAGAAGGTATTTTTAAACATGCCTTTCCAGGTGTCCCCTGATCGGACACTCCCCCACCAACATGTCTGAGCAATTTGAAACCTCAGACACCACAGAGAAGTTCTGACAATCTTGAGGCCTATTTATGCAGTCACTCTATTTTATGCTCATGATTAGATGGGATTGTCCCTGTGAAATGCTGGTAAAGTGTGAAGAGTGGTACATGTGCTGGGGTTTTTAGTATCGCGTATAATTCATATCGGGAATCTGAAACTGCTGTTACTTGTTAATTATCTGCAGTATCAGCTCAACTTATTCAGCACTGTGACTTAGCATTTGAAATGGAAACTGCCCCCCAAATAGGTTCCCGATTCGGTTTTAAACACAAAGATATCCATCTGCCCAAAAAAAAAAAAAAATTCATTCCTTTTGTGGTTTTATACTTATTCATTTTGTCTCCAAAACAAATCCAATTTTACATATGGAGCGCTCTGGCTAATATATAAAAAAGCCATCCAATGTGCTGCAGACTCAGAGCGGTGGCGTGGTCCACATTCTTGACATTCAGCAATCCTGTGCTGGACTTGTCGTTTTTCTTGGAACTACTGGGGCCAAGCTGGTTGTAATGACCACAGGGTTCTTCTCCAAAGGAGTCGCTCTGAAATCTATTTTGGTGTCTCGCAATTGGAGCATAGACATCTTTGAACTGAGCATTGCTATTTGCCAACCTGTTGGGAAGAAGAGACCAAGTAGCCTCGTGGGCTCTGGGTGCTCACAGCAAACCCTCTCCCATTGCAGATTACGTCTTTGTCACGCCGGTGGAAGTGGACTCGGGCGGCTCATATATTTCACATGATATTTTTCACCACCACGGCAGGAAGAGGCGGTGGGTGCAGAGTGCCAGCAGCTCCCTGCATTACCGATTTTCAGCATTTGGACAGGAGCTGCACTTAGAGCTTCAGCCCTCGGCGATTTTGAGCAGTCACTTTATTGTCCAGGTACTGGGAAAAGATGGTGCTTCAGAGACTCAGGCCCCCGAGGTGCAGCGATGTTTCTATCAGGGATTTATCCGAAACGACAGCTCCTCCTCGGTCGCGGTGTCTACGTGTGCCGGCTTGGTGAGTAACCCAGGCTCCGAGGCCACTCCCTCTTTCATGTGTTTCCTATAACTTGAATGAACAGATGTCTGCAATATTAAGTGCTCTTCCAGCCAACTTGACACATTCACACTGTCAGCTTTGATACTTATAATATTCTCAATTGAATTAATCTAATCTGCTCCCAGAAAAAGAAAATATAATAGAACTTTAATTACCATTTAGAACATTCTTTTGATGTTTAATGGGCTGGTCTTTTCATTCTCCATGTTTGAGATGATCCCCAAGGAAATTAATTTGATGGATGCCATTCGCTTTGTAAAGTCTTGAGAGACCAGACTTTATATAAATCTAACAAGCTGCATGCCTCGACATTGCTTTGAAATGGGAAAACTGTATTTAAATGTGAAACTGTCTTCAGCAGCCCTGTTCAGCCCAACCTTCACTGAAGAAGGGAGGCCTTTTGTTTTCTTTTAACCAATCTGTTCGTGACATCCTACTCAAGTAGGACATCCTTCTAGAACATGTTGTGGTGTCCTCCAGGGTTGGCAGGATTAAGTGTGGCATGTGGGCATGCAGAGCACTTAAAAGCATTTGTGACGAGTGTTGCTTCTTCCCTGTGTGTGATCCTCATCTGTTCAGCTCCAGGCTGAGAATACTGGTAAAAAATACACTTGTCTCAGGATTCAGTTGGATGCTATAGGAGATGATAGAATAGCCCTTTGGGTTTGTGTTGCCACTGAGAAGTGTCTTGTGCTGACAGAAGAGTGTGTGTGTGTTGAGACATGAGGTGGTGATAGTATGGGATGGCAGGAAGAAGGAAAAATCCTCAATAACCAGTCAAGGATCTGGTTTACCATGAAACAAAGAGAGAGCAACTGGCTTAGGTGCTAATTGAAGCTTCATCTTCTTTGTTCACATTATTAAGCTTTTGTTTGTTTTTGTATTTTTTTTTTTGGTGGTAGTAGTATGGTTGAAAATTTAAAATCTTTCATCACAACTGGAATTAGGGTAGCCATTGATAGGGTCTTTACATTTTATTTTTGTTTATTTATTTATTTATTTATTTTATAATGATATGGTCTTTACATTTTAAAGTGAAGCAAATATTCAATAGTTCCCAAAGGAGCTTGATCCATCTCACTTAACTGTTAATATAGCATGCCTATTATATGTTATGAGTTTAGCGCACAAGCACACTTAACAATACATCTTGGTATTGTGATTTTGTTTTGTTGTGAGGGATCTCTTGTTCCTTTTAAAGTATCCTTTTATATATTCCTTTCTCCTATGCTAGGATCCTAACATCTCCACAAAATGTTTAGCTCACCATGAGAGAGACTTAAACTGTCCTGTCCCACAGAGCACTGGGGTTACGAGCAGTCTTCCCAGGGTAATTCTCCCACCAGCACTTACTAGTACAACCTTGGGGAGCTCCTCACCTCTGTGTGTTAGTGTCCTTATATCTAAAGTGGGAATCACAGGAGGGTTATGTCAAGGGCTGTGAGATTAGATGGAGTCTTACCTGAAGTGCTGCAGCCATTCCCGGCAGGTGGTACTTGCTTTGTCTGCTCTAGTTCCAGTGACACTTGGCTTTTTCTGATTCTACTCTCTATGAGTGATAGTGAATTTGACCAGTTGTGCCCTGTGATTAGATACGACCTTATTTCTCCCAATGAAGAATTGAATTTTGAATGGGGAGCAAGTGATCACTTAATGTATAGGAATGAAGCAAGTTCAAGCTTTCCATCTTTTTCATGGATGTGAAGAAATGGACAGCCACCTTTGCCTATGTGTCAGACTGATATAAACTGGAATCATGAGCTCAGATTTTGTCCCCACTGTTCAAGGAACCAGCAAACCAAAATCCATAGACTTTGTTAATGAACTTTCTTAGGCCTCAGTTTCCTCTCCTGAAACTTGGAAATTGTTTCTAAGACTGTTGCCTTCCTCCAGGGTTCTGACTCTCATTATCCAATATGTTGACCCAGCGTGAGGGGTTGGAGGAAGGGAGAGGGGAGGCACCGATATAGCTGGTCAGGACAGAATCAGTTTTATCCCCATTGTATTAAACAATTTCCATGACCCTGCCAAACAATAGCAAAACACCTACATCCATACTCAATTAAACAATAAGAAAGAGGTGGGGAGGAAAAGAACAGAACCACAATTGTGAAGCTGAGATCCTGCTCTAGAATAATTTTTGTAACCTTGTATTGAGGACTATATAAAGAAAAGTACAAAATGTATGCAGAAAAATGCAAAAACCAGAGTACAGCCTAATGTATTTTCACACCCATGTAAACATCAACCAGATTCAACAGGGTGTTACTACTGCTCCAGAACCAGACCTCCATCTTCAAGTATTACCCACCAGAAGTAACCAGTAGGTCATGGGGTATGTATATGTGCAGCTTTAGCTGATTCTGCCAAAAGCTTCCCAAAGTGGTTGTACTAATTATCACTCCCACCAGCAGTATAAGTGAGTTCCAGTTGCTTCACATCCTTACCAACACTTGCTTTTGTCTATCTTGTCCATTTGAGCCACACTGATGGATGGATGTGAAGCAATAGCGCATTATGGATTTAGTTTGTTTTATTCTTATGATTAATGAGCTTAAGTGCCCTTTCTCGTGTTTATTGGTCATTTGTTTACCCTCTTGTTACCTCACTATCACCCAGGGACCGGAAATAGTATAAATGCTGTCAGTCTAAGTCGTAATGATTTTTCACTTCTCTGTGAATAGAAACAAGAATTTTGAGCAAAAACACTGTTGCAAACTTAACCTCTTTGTTATTCTGACTATGAATCTTTAAGCACTGATTTACTTATGAAACACTATGGATTAGCAACAGTGAGATCATTTGATGGTTCAAATGATGGTTAAATCATTTGAGATACCACACTGAGGACTAGGGATGTCAAAGAATGGGATGGAAAGATCTCATCAGATCTGGAGGAAGAATGTCTTCATCCTTCTGCCTACCTGGAAATCATAGACATTGCCCAGCTTCTTTGCTCAAACAAGGGGTTTAGACTATTTATCGAAACTTAATTAGCCAATACTGTAATGGATTCAGAATAGTGAATGAGTCAAGAGTTTAGGAAAGGTACAAGCCTCTAATGTGCTTGTTGGAGAGACTCCTCCAAGTTAACATGCTAGAAGAGATAGGCAATTCTTCTTCCACTAAGACTGTGACATGGGTGATGAATCTTCCACTGGAAGTCTCTATACCACCAAGAGTGGGGCTGAACAACTGGCAATCAGAATGCCTTTGGAAGTTACAGCAATCTCCTAGTTTGCATGCATTGTATTAGGAAAGTAATAAGTTATGTTTACATAGCCAAGTGTCAGTAGGAAAGTTAATTGCTATATTGAGTGTTAGGGAATCCCAGGAGAGAATGAGAAAGGATGAAAGGCTTGTAGTACCAAAATAACCGATATACATACATGTATATGAATATGCTCCAGCTGGAATTTCTCTAGCAGGAATTTCCCTCAATCATTCACAGTTAAACTATGCTGAAGATATTTTCTTCAAATGCATCCCCTTACCCCTCACAAACTGATAGGCCTCACTTTATTCAGATGCTGAGTTATTTACTTGGAAAATTTATAAAGAAGGAGTTGCAAATTTCCCTGAGTGAATTATGCCTACTGTTACATTTGGGGGTGATTATTTTTGAAAATTTGAATGCCTCGGGCCTCCCCAGTGGCGCAGCGGTTGAGCGCTGGGTTGCGAAGCTGCCCGCAGCCTCTGCAGCGCCGGTTCAATCCCCGGCCACCAGGCGAGGGTCCCACATGGTGCGCAGACCTCTCCTGTGCCCACTGCTCCCCTCAGCAGTGTACTTCGTCATTCTGCCTGTTCTGCTCTCAGCTCTGACTCTGGTGAATTCTCTCACCCTCCCGCGCTTCTGACTCTACCCAGTGCTTGTATAAATAAATAAATCTAAAAAAAAAAATTGAATGCCTCTAGACAGAAGTAGCCCTTTCCAACCAACCACTGTCCCCTGCACCCACCTCCCTTATTCTCTGTGAAGGTATTTGAGTTTGTTCCAGAATCTTGAGTGGCTGATCAACCTTATCTAATCATTGTCTGTCTGTATGTCCCTTCTACAATCTCCAGCCTCAGCTTGACTGGGTGAGGTGATCATGCAAGGATGAGAAGATCATTATATCCAGGAAACCCAGCTGTTGTTGGGAAACTACTTTTTTTTTGGTCAAAAAAATTTTTTTAAAGATTTATTTTATACAAGAACTGGGGTATAGGCCAGATGATTAGGAGGGTGAGCAGATTCACCAGAGACAGAGTGGGGAACAGAACAAGCAGACTGATGAAACATACTGCTGAGGGGAACAGCGGGCGAGACAGGAGAGGTCTGCACACAGGAGAGGTCTGCCGCGCCATGTGGGACCCTTGCCTGCTGGCCGGGAACAAACCGGTGCTGCAGAGGCTGTGGACAGCTTCACAGCGCGGCGCTAAACCACCTGCGCCACCAGGGAAGGCCCTCTTGTTAAAAAATTTTTATGGGACTAATGTTGCCTTATACCATTACGTAAGTTTCAGGTGTACAACATAACTCAACACCTGTCTACACTCCATCATGAACACCACGCGAAATCCAGTTTCCATCTACCACTATGCAATTCATCCCCTTTACCTGTTCATCCCCCACCCCTTTCCCTCCTGGTAAACACCAATCTGTTCTCTGTATCTTAGTTTCTTTTGTTCATTTGCTTTATCTTCCACATAGGAGTGAAATCATAAGGTATTTGTCTTTCTCTGTCTGACTTATTCTCTGTCTGACTTAGTTCACTTAGCACAATTCCCTTTAGGTCCATCCATTGTTGTATGTGGTAGGATTTCATCTTATTTAATAGCTGACTACTATTCCATTGTGTATATATATATACATATACATATATATATATATATATATATATATATATACCACATCTTTATCCATTTATACACTTAGGTTGTTTCCATAGCTTGACTAAAGTATATAATGCTGTAAT